TGATTGAATCAATGAGCTTCATATCAATTAAGAAGGGACTCTCTTTTCCCATTTCTTTCTGTTTTCGGTTTCCTAATTTTCTGCCTTAAGAAAGTTGAGACACTGGGAAGAGAAATTTTTTTAGTTTCCTCATACGATTAGAAAGACCAGAAGTTCTAGTTCGATCACAAATCCTGTGACAAATTCTTAGTAACAATGAAACTTTTTGATTTTCAAATATGAATGTAGTTTAAGTCAGGCACAACTGTCTATCACCTGAGTGAAATGTGAACAAAGGTAGAAAAAACTGAATATTAAAACCAAAACTCTTAGTAATTTTTTTTTTTATGCGATTATCATTTGGTATCTATTTGTTTATAACCTGTATGAGCTTTCTTAACATTGATTTATTATATTCCAATTGTAACTGTTTTAAAACTAAAATTAATTCCATTGTCATTCCTTTAAGCCCATTTGCGGATAATCTTTAAGTTCTCTTTGAAGTTTGTAAGACTTTTCACTAATCTTCAGACTGCTCCAACATCGAGGATGTACATAATAGATTTTTGGCTTTTAACGTTCACTCACAAAAAGATGAAAGACAGAAATCGGTAGGAATATGATTCAACCTAAGGGCAAAATGTTTCTTTTACATCACGTGACGAGATGAAGGAACCAAAAAACCTAGGTCAAAGTATAATATATAGATTTAGCCAAGCCTAAAAGCGGAGCTCGTATTTTTTTTTTCCCCCGCACGTCTCAAGGGCACAACGCCTTGCCCTGGCCAGGACTAGAACCCGGGTCGCCCAACTCGCAGCCCAGTGCACTGACCACTGAACTACTGGACAAAGCCGTGGCGTTGGCGTGCCCGCGGTACAGTTGACCACGCATGTTAAAAGAAGCACCTTGTACGGTCGTACGGTCGAACGGTCGTACATCCAAATTTTTTCGGCTTGATGGGCTACTACTATTTTGCATAATTTTGGGGCTACGCTCTGCGAGCTCCGCTACTATTTACGACAGTGACCCAGTGAGTTAAGTCTAGTTTCTACGGTTCGCTTACCTGCGAGTTAACAAAGTTGATGTACTTCAACACGGAAGCTGAGTCAGTTCAGTAGTAAACTTGGTCTGCTGTCATTTCCAATTCTTCTCCAATAATTCTGGAGAGCCTTACGCAGATAACACTGACTGTCAGTTCCAATATTGGAATTGAAATTTCATGTATGGGACTTGCTTCTTCCATGACAAATGCACAGTGAACTTGGTTAATGACATTTTTCAAACGGAAGTAAACGACGGCTGAAATTCATTATCATGGCCAATTTACATTGTCAACTCAGTTGGTAAAGCCAAATAGTTTTTTAATACCCCACCAAAGTTTCTTCAAAAACTTACCCCGTTGTTTATAGAAACTATGCATGTGGAAAGTTCTCATTGCAAAAGTTAAGATAAAGTCTGTCAGTTTTTTTTATCTTTGTCCAATGACTTTAAAGTCATGTAATGTTCTGCAAAAATCCCAACTTGAGGAAAATGAAAGGTGACCAACCGACTTCTTCACTTTTTTTTTTTTTTTGTTTTTAAGTGGATATTGTGAATTCTAACACTTTCAGCTTGTTACAAATAGTTTCCGGGTGTAATCGACCCAGCCCGTTTTTGTAACTTAACATGTGTGTTCCTGTTTGAAGTGACTCGTTATTAATCAAGATTATCGACCATTTAGTATTGTGTTACTAAAAATAATGTTTCCCTGATAACAGTTGAGGATTGCAATGGAAACCTAACAGCAGAAGCCATGACACCTTTCATGAGCCTCGCCTTATTTGTTGCCCTGTTCTTGCTCAACTCAGATCGCATTCAGAAAGCCATTGAGATATGCAGCGAATGTTTGATTTTGCTAAATGGCACCGATCAAAACAGCAAAGACCAATTTGATTCAGCACTGCTACAATTTTACAGCGACATCTATACCATTCTTTTCAGCGCTTATCGTCATATCTCTGACTACATAAGTGCGGAAAGATACGGAAGGAAACTGTTTGACTTATACAGAGGGTATGGAATTATGCTTTATAAACTTGGCGAAAGCCTAAAAGCAAAGGAATATTTTGAGAGGGCCCTTGCCATAACAACCAAAATTGGCGACAGAGGAGGGGAAGCATCATGTTATGGAAACCTAGGTACTGTGTTTAAGTCGCTTGGCCAATACGACAAGGCTGAAGAGTATCTCCAAAAAGCGCTTGTCATCACAACTGAAATTGGCGACAGAGGAGGGGAAGCATCATGTTATGGAAACCTAGGTACTGTGTTTCAGTCGCTTGGCCAATACGACAAGGCTGAAGAGTATCTCCAAAAAGCGCTTGTCATCAGAACTGAAATTGGCGACAGAGAAGGGGAGAGGGCAGAAGCATCATGTTATGGAAACCTAGGTACTGTGTTTACGTCGCTTGGCCAATACGACAAGGCTGAAGAGTATCTCCAAAAAGCGCTTGTCATCAGAACTGAAATTGGCGACAGAGAAGGGGAAGCATCATGTTATGGAAACCTAGGTACTGTGTTTATGTCGCTTGGCCAATACGACAAGGCTGAAGAGTATCTCCAAAAAGCGCTTGTCATCACAACTGAAATTGGCGACAGAGAAGGGGAGGCAGCTGACTACGGAAACCTAGGTACTGTGTTTGAGTCGCTTGGCCAATACGACAAGGCTGAAGAGTATCTCCAAAAAGCGCTTGTCATCAGAACTGAAATTGGCGACAGAGAAGGGGAGGCAACTGACTACGGAAACCTAGGTACTGTGTTTCAGTCGCTTGGCCAATACGACAAGGCTGAAGAGTATCTCCAAAAAGCGCTTGTCATCAGAACTGAAATTGGCGACAGACGAGGGGAAGCATCATGTTATGGAAACCTAGGTACTGTGTTTATGTCGCTTGGCCAATACGACAAGGCTGAAGAGTATCTCCAAAAAGCGCTTGTCATCACAACTGAAATTGGCGACAGAGAAGGGGAAGCATCATGTTATGGAAACCTAGGTACTGTGTTTAAGTCGCTTGGCCAATACGACAAGGCTGAAGAGTATCTCCAAAAAGCGCTTGTCATCACAACTGAAATTGGCGACAGCATCAGATGGAAACCTAGGGTGAGCCAATACGACAAGGCTGTATCTCCAAAAAGCGCTTGTCATCAGAACTGAAATTGGCGACCTGGAAACCTAGGTACTGTGTTTACGTCGCTTGGCCAATACGACAAGGCTGAAGAGTATCTCCAAAAAGCGCTTGTCATCACAACTGAAATTGGCGACAGAGAAGGGGAGGCAACTGACTATGGAAACCTAGGTACTGTGTTTACGTCGCTTGGCCAATACGACAAGGCTGAAGAGTATCTCCAAAAAGCGCTTGTCATCAGAACTGAAATTGGCGACAGAGAAGGGGAGGCATCATGTTATGGAAACCTAGGTACTGTGTTTAAGTCGCTTGGCCAATACGACAAGGCTGAAGAGTATCTCCAAAAAGCGCTTGTCATCAGAACTGAAATTGGCGACAGAGAAGGGGAAGCATCATGTTATGGAAACCTAGGTACTGTGTTTTCAGTCGCTTGGCCAATACGACAAGGCTGAAGAGTATCTCCAAAAAGCGCTTGTCATCAGAACTGAAATTGGCGACAGACGAGGGGAAGCATCATGTTATGGAAACCTAGGTACTGTGTTTACGTCGCTTGGCCAATACGACAAGGCTGAAGAGTATCTCCAAAAAGCGCTTGTCATCACAACTGAAATTGGCGACAGAGAAGGGGAAGCATCATGTTATGGAAACCTAGGTACTGTGTTTACGTCGCTTGGCCAATACGACAAGGCTGAAGAGTATCTCCAAAAAGCGCTTGTCATCAGAACTGAAATTGGCGACAGAGAAGGGGAGGCAACTGACTACGGAAACCTAGGTACTGTGTTTACGTCGCTTGGCCAATACGACAAGGCTGAAGAGTATCTCCAAAAAGCGCTTGTCATCACAACTGAAATTGGCGACAGAAACAGGGAGGCAACTGACTATGGATACCTAGGTGCTGTGTTTACGTCGCTTGGCCAATACGACAAGGCTGAAGAGTATCTCCAAAAAGCGCTTGTCATCACAACTGAAATTGGCGACAGAGAAGGGGAAGCATCATGTTATGGAAACCTAGGTACTGTGTTTACGTCGCTTGGCCAATACGACAAGGCTGAAAAGTATCTCCAAAAAGCGCTTGTCATCAGAACTGAAATTGGCAACAGACGAGGGGAAGCATCATGTTATGGAAAACTAGGAATTTTGTTTAGAACTGTTGGTGATTTTAAAGCTTCGGAAGTATGCTTGGAGAAAGCTTTATTCATATCCAGAGATATTGGAGATGGAAGAAGAGAGTTTGAAATCCTCCAAGGTTACGCCGTTTTGTATTTATATCAAGATAAAATCAAAGACTCCCTGTCGTGTCTTCACCTGTGCATTGAAAAGTATGAGGAGCTGAGATATTTCTTGGGCGCCAATGATCAGTTCAAAACATCATTTCTGGAGAACACAGGAATATTTCCCTACAAGCTGCTTTGTACTTTGCTTTGTGACACCGGAAATGCTCGGGATGCTCTTTATGTTGAGGAGTTGGGTCGAGCTAGAGGCCTATCAGACTTAATGGCAGAGAAGTACTCGGTTGAAACGCACATCTCTGCTAATCGACAATCTTGGTTTGGCATTGAGGACATTTTAAGAAAGAAAAGAAACTGTACTTGTCTGTACATTTCTTATTTTCAGAATCGTCTGCATTTGTGGATCTTGAAAACAAGTGGAGTCCTTCACTATAGAAGAGTATCACCAGAAGAGAATCTAGTTCAGGCTGGGTTACCCAAAGATTTGTCTTTGAGTCAATTTTTGGATTATAATTTCCGGAGTCTTGGTATTTTGCCCACTAAAGATTGTGAAGATCGGTCTTTAAATACGATTAAATTGCAACCTCTCTCTCCCGCGCAAAAGAGCTCAGCAAGATTGCGACTCGTGGAGGAGGACGAGGACGAGGACGAGGACGAGAAAGTGATTTCAAGTCTATACTTGTGTTACAAAATGTTCATTGCCCCCGTTTATGATTTGCTTGATGAGCCTGAAGTAATTATTGTTCCTGACCGCAGGTTGTACAAAGTTCCCTTTGCTGCCCTGAGTGAAAAGGAGGGAGCCGAATACTTGTCAGAGACTCATAAGATCCGTATCATTCCTTCGTTGACAACACTCAAGAACATTCAAGATAGTCCAGAGGACTATCACAGCAACACTGGTGCCTTGGTAATAGGCAATCCCAAGGTTAATTGGCTGCAACCATTGCCAGCTGCAAGAAAGGAAGCGGAGATGGTCGGACGACTGGTGGGTGTTCCGCCTCTAGTTGAAGAGAAAGCAACGAAGCAGGCGGTACTTGAGCGGATAAGTTCAGTGAGCTTGATACATTTTGCTGCCCATGGTGACGCGGAAAGAGGGGAAATTGCACTCTCCCCCATTCCTACTCCCAACAGTCAAAACGCTACCCCACCGAAGGAAGCTTACATGTTGACGATGGCTGATGTCTCACGAGTGAAAGTCAGAGCTAAACTGGTGGTACTTAGCTGCTGTCACAGTGGAAGTGGAGAGATAAGAGCCGAGGGAGTTATAGGAATTGCCCGTGCGTTCTTAGGATCCGGTGCTCGCTCGGTGTTGGTTGCGCTGTGGGCCATTCCAGACTCAGCAACAGAGCAGCTGATGAGTCGGTTCTACGAACACCTCATTGAAGGTGGAAGTGCCAGTGAATCCCTTCATCAGGCCATGAAGTGGATGAGAAAAAAACCCTTGAACAAAATCTCTGAGTGGGCTTCGTTTACGCTGATTGGAGATGATGTGAGACTCGAGTTTGACAACCAGCGGCAAGACTCGGTGAGAACAGGTATTTCATAAATTAAAGTTAAATTAGATGTGAGGATGGTATATATATATATATATATATATATATATATATATATATATATATATATATATATAGATATATATATATACGCACCCTTTTTTTCCTTTTTCAAGAGTTATATCTGGTGTAAAATATAGAATCTCACAGATGCCTCTCTACCAATGAGACACAAGTAATAGCCAATTATTTTTATATATCGTGCTTGGTGTAATTGTGTTTGCTTTATATCCAAAATATTAATTGAGGTAATAATAAATTGGGTTATTTCAATTTTTTTCTTGCAGGAAAAAAGACCCCGATAGAGTAAATAATGACAAGTACTCGAAGGGAACAGAGTTAAAAGACTTTTAGATGGATAAATTAAATAGAAATAAGTAGAGAAAATACTCTATCCAGTATTTCATCGACATTAAAAAAAAAGAGCTATCCCAGGTTAGGGGAGATTTATTCCAATTTTTGCTGCTTTCTTTTCTAATATTCTCAGGAGGAGGTAATGGTTATGTACTCAACAATTTTTTGTTTTTCACGCAAAAATTATATTCTAATATAATAGACACGAAACAATGTTGACCTACGTAAGGCTTTTGAGTAAAACGAATTCAGTAAAGTTAAGACAGTAGTTTAAGTATTAAACAAACCACTAAAATCTGGTTTAATTTTTGTGTTTTCAAGCCTTTTGTAAGGTTTAGTTATTAAGAATACCTTCCATATTTCAAGAATGAATTTGATGTAGCATCTGAAGGGATCCTTGTCAACCACGCCTCTGTTTTTGTCAATATACGGGTAACTGCGGAGAGATTCGTTTCGTGCCGGCACGTAAACACTTTTTAAGTGGCGTTAAGATAGGATTCGCAAAATAAGTCCGAAGCACTTCACATTTAAAAAAATCGTACAGAGCTTAGAAATACGACTAAAAGAGGGGAAAGAGGATACCTGACGAACTTCTGGAGAAATACGTGTCTGAAGTTATCTGCTCCAGTAGAGAAGGATCACTTCCGGCTTTACAAAAGCTCAAGAACACGCTGATGTGGAAATGTCACATTCAAAATCACATCGCCAAAAAAACATTAAAGTATATCCTGGCCAGAACTGATCTTTGGAGACAGAAGTTTAAAATCGCTTGCAGATGGCGGGAGTGTCATGCGGGCATGTCAATACTTCAATTTTTAACTGGTCACTTGCCTCTTGTGCTATGCACCCTGCGCGAAGCTTGTCGACTCTTAAATGCAGAAAAATCTCTGCCAATTGGCTATGAGTTAGATCTCTGAAATATGGAAGTAATCCTGTCTTGGAATAAAGAGTTCATCTGTTGTAGAATAAGTTGATTCGTAACACCCTGTATGTAAGGAATAACAGCAAAACCAGTCGCTGGTTCCCTTTCATCAAGAGCGTTACTATTTGTAACTGGTTTTTGGCAGTTACGGAGAAAAGTTTTTGTATAGCCATTTGCCCATTTGGATTTTAGTGAAGAGCGAAACAACGTCGAAAGATACTAATTCTTCACAAGCGTTAAGAGTTTTATCTTTTATGAAATCCGCAAATTCGCAGGAATTTTTGACAGTGTAATCAGTATTCCCAACAACAGGCGACAAAATTCTCGCAAGATAACCAGAAATTGCATAAGTCGGAGAATTAACAAAAGAGACAATGAGTCTCAAAGGAATTCCCGGTTTATGAATTTTAGGTAAGCCATAAAAACGTGGACATAAGCCGTCACTACTGTCTAACATTTTGTACGTAGAGTCACTAATTTTACCAGCTTTTTGCAAATCAAGCAACATGTTGTTTGAGGTTTTACTGGTATAATCAGAGTTTAAGACAGCATACGTACTCTTGTCATTAAGCAGAGTCAAAGCTTTGTCGTGATATTGCTGTTTGTCCATAACCACAACACAATTACCCTTGTCAGCAGATAATACGAGCCTGTCCGGATCCTTTTTGAGAAATGAATGAATGTTTTTGGGGGATTTAAAACACTTGGGAGGAGCTTATTTAGACCTCGTCAGAAAAAAAAAATGGCCGCTAATTTGATCATATAAAAGGACCTCTTGTTACGCTTATTTACACCTGACTAGACAGGAGTGTCGAAACGTTTGGTCTATGAATTGTAACTTCGGTTACATTCATTAAATCTGCAAACCAGAGTAGCATCAAACTATGTCTGATTGTCCAGCTGGTTGCCGTGTGAACTTTAATGTATTAGATAAGAAGGCATTTGCTTACCTTGGCTCCTTTGATCACTGAACCAGTCGGCCTACGGTTGATGAAGTTCGGGATCTTTTGGTCGGTAACGGCCCATGGAAGCGCGCTTGACAAGGTGATACAAGATGTCCTACTATTGCGCCACTTCCAAACCATTGATTCGGAAATTCCGTATTCCCTCGCTATCTCTCGATTGTTGTTAACAGCTTCAGCTTCAATTACGATTTTCAACTTAAAGTTGAGATCGTAAGAATGATGGCGAGTGTTTGGCATGATTGTGCTGAATGTAGACTTCGCAAGATAATGTTCACCAGGTGAAGTAAATTTGCGACTACTGATTTTGTTGATCGAATTGTTTTTATACTTTAAAACCATGTTTCCCGAGAGGGAAGGCTAAAAATTAATGTGTACCGATAGGTTGTCATTAAATGTGTGACCTTTTTTGCCTTTTGTTTATCACTGTGATTAAATGTGTGACATTTTTCGGCTTTTGTTTATGTGTGTGACATTTTGCTTTTGTTTAATCAAGGCTTTTGTTTGTGCGCGTGGTCGCGTGTGCGACAATTCTGCTTTTGTTAATTAACGGTAAACTAAAATCAATACGCGACTTTTTCGCTTTTTTGTAAGTTTATGAAAGAATTTACAATAAACTTGACCAATCTTTACTCCCCAAACAACGATGCGCCTTATAACCAAGTATTTTAGCGATATTTTCAGTTTGAAAACATGCAATAATGAAATTGCCAAATTGGGGGTGCGTCTTATAGCCGAGTGCGCCTTATAACCGAATAACTACGGTAGTATGGAGGTAATTACCAGCACTGATCTGGTTCTTACTTGTTCTGCACTTTTCCATGCAGACCGTTTCCTGTGAAACGATCATAATCCATGTATTTTTGTTTTGAAAGGCACCAAATTTAAAACTAAAAAGTTTAGTCCAGTTGCAATGTGATGAATCACTTGCTAACTTTTCTTGCTCAAATTCTACTGAGGAATATTGGCCATCCGTTGTTTTTGTGAGGAACTCAGGAAAATGTTCTCTTATGGCCCTCAGGCTTGGTAAGAAGTTATCATTTGCAGTTATGGCTGAATTAATCTGCTGCAAATTTACATTTATAAAATGAATGAGAGACAGTTGATTTCATTTTGATTCATATTTTATATTTTTAATATGGTTGACGTGGTGGGCATGGTCACCACATCCACCGTGTAGGAGTGGCCTCTCCCTCCTAAGTTGAAACATTTTTTATTTCTTTGATAGAAAAAAAAATGAAAAGTTGAGGTAAGGCAATGCACTTGCAAGGAGATGTTACCCAACTGACAACTATACTCACAAGATCTAAATAAATTACCCTTTTGTCCTAAAATCCCTATTTGTATTATCATAGATTTTTATCTTTCAATGCCTGCTTATGGCAGCTTTTGTTGGATTGGAAATAAAACAGTCTTTGTATATGTGTATGTGCTGGAAACTGTTGCAATGGACCTTCAAAGGGTTTTTTATTTGATCTATATTAAACTTTAATTTCTTTGTCAACAGTCAAAAATAATCATATAGTATCACCTTTTTTTTTCCTTCTCACCTCTAAATCTTTGAAAAATTATTTAATCTTCTATTTGAGAATTGTTTAGAAATGGAATTTATTTTAATACAAATAGGGATTTACGCTGTTAAGTAGTATCATTTGTGGCTTTAATGAAACGAACAATGCATTTTCTCAGTTGTTAGCTTCCAATCTTTGTTGGACAGTAAAAGAAAATTTTGGTATGTATGAAATGGAAGCATCATACCATGGAAAATGCTTGAACAATTTTTATCCACTTGTCGCGTTGATCAAAAAAATTCACTTGTTCACTAGGCTCACATGTTAATTTTTGTTTGATGCAATAAATCTCATTTGTGCACACTTTCCATGGAATAATCTCTGTTTGTTACAGATTGAAAAATATTTCTTGGGCCCCATACTGTTTCTAAAATTTAACTTCTTTTCGCATGAGCATGATAAATTCAAGATTTTCTAAATACTGTGGAAAATGGCATCGAAAACAAATGTTAGCCCAGTTTATTGTAATGTCAGTTGTTGTTAGGTTACTATTTACTTTACTTCACCATTCCACTTCTTCCACACCTTCTCTTTTTAATTATTTTTCTTGTCCACATCTATTTTATGAAAAAAGCAATACTTGGTTTGAACAAGTTTATTAAAAATACTGCACAAGTTATATAACTGTATTAGAAAAGGTTTCTCTGAAGTGACAATATTGAACCAAGTGATGGTAACATTGCAAAATTATGAACTTCTACTTTACTGGAAATGGTCAAAGGAAAAACAGTTTGCTAACCAGACATCATTTCTTATTGCTTAGACTTTAACAGGAAAGTTGTATTTCAAGGAGGCTATGGTGTCACTTTTCCAACTTCCTACAGAGGTGAAAGACTACTCACTGTTTACAGGTGCATAGCATTTTGTGGAATCATAGCATTATAGAAGAAAAGAAAATATTACCGTTGACACTTACCTAAATCACTGCCTGCAGGGGGTGGTCCTTCAGGTAGATCTTCATCATCTATTGTATAAAAACTAAACGTATGTAATTGTCAATTTGAAAAAAGGTATTTTATTTAAATCAAGGTAAAGCATTATACATTGTTTAAGCGCCAGAGTCTCGCATAAAAAGATAAGTAGTGACTCCGCGCGCTAACGAAGAGAGATGTTTTAATTCAGAGAAACTCAAACTTTCTTAAATTCAATGTTATTACATACATAGTATAAACGTACTTTTCCGTTGAACGGATGCTTCATATCCTCACCGTAAAATTGCTTTCTTCAAACCGTAAGGGTTTTATACAATATATTTTAGCCTCATTAGCTAAGATTGCTCAGCATTGTTTAATTTGAGAAAATAACGGTTTCCGCAATCACGTGATCAAAAACTTAACTCAATCCTATATCAAGGCATATTATTATGCAGAATGTCCTTTACTGATGTCAGCAGAGGCTGACATCAGGCTCGCGTCTCGAGAAAAAACAAACCATTAATTTATGAATCACACCCACAAGAAAATGAAAAGTCCATGAATACAATGAGTCAATTTTCACCACGGATAGCTTACTGTTTAAAGACAGAAGCTTTAGTTGTACTCTCGATCTCATCGATCTCTTCAAGCAAATCCAACCGTTCCAAAAAGGATGAACACTGAAGCCTGATGTTTTGGTTAAACAGAGTAAGATGTTTCATTTTTGGACGCTAAAATCCATCATTAGTCAGAAAAGTGTGACGTGCTAAACCGAAATATAGTCACTCAGTTTTTTAGTAATTCTGGCCTCGGTCATGGAAATCACCTCCGCTGGAAAATGAAAAGTTCACGAAGACAAGGAGTCGATTGTCACGCAAAGATAGGTTACCGT